TAAAATTAAACAATTATAGCAAGTGTTTAAATATAACTAAGAAATAATTTACGAGAAAAATGGTAATACCGTCTTGACGATTGCGCTGAAGTAACAGTTTGCTTATGCTTTGGTTGTTCTACTGAACGTTGAAGAGGTCTTCTGAATTACTAATTTTTAATTAATTCAAACCAAAATTTAATAGTCATCATGTTTACCTTGAGAATATCATTTTAAATAATCTATTTTTAACTACTAAAAAGTGACAAATAATTAATATTCTCACTAACTCTGATAATCCTCAATTCTCCAAATATTATTCAAACAACTGTAAATTAAATGATCAGCAGTTATTAAATTGTAAACAATTTATTTCATTATAAAATACGAACAAAATTTAATATTTGACCTCTGCTAAAACAAACAAAATTAAATTTTAATCAGAGCATGTTTTAATCGGAAAAACTAACGTCCGATCACGCGATGTAAGTCTTCGAACAATAGCTAATGATTTTGAAGAACTTGGTTTATATGGTTCCATATATTTTTCTCTTGGTGATGGTGTCGACCAAGTTGGTACTTTGCGGGTTACAATTGGCACCTTAACGCATTTTATTTATACCCTTAAATTACTAACAATTTTTAGATTTAAGGCTTCATTAGACTAAAAATTTGCAGACCGAAAATATACACATACTTGAAATAAAATATTTAAATTAGCAGTAAAAAAGTTAAATAATAACTGAAAATGATTTAATACCAGCTGTTATTAGAAGCTGTCATTGTTGAATATATAAAATTTTCAAAGTTATCAATGTTCAGCATAAATCTATTGATAACAATGCATTAAGAATCAGTAATTATGATAAACTGTCATAATAATGATTAATTATCAAAACATACATTTGTTCTTCCAGCCTCTTTACCATTTTTAAATACAATAAAACTTGGCAAAAATGGTACTAATTCATCGTAAATATCATTTCTGTCTACAGTTTTTCTCAGATCATCATCGAAAGCATAATCAAATGATTTTGGATTAATGAACTGAGTTTCTTCCAGCAGATTACTTTCTGTAAAATATTACAGTAACAATATCATCACTGTGTAAATCCTGTGACAACATTATTATCATTAATAATTACTGAACAGTAAAAATAAGTTTATGCCACAGTAACTATTGTTGTATACTAGAACAAATCCTTGTTTCTTTCATTACTATTATGTGTTACAGACAAATTGTCGTCACAGTAATCAACGTAGTAATAATAATAATAACAATAATAATAATAATCGTAATTATTTGCAGTTGAAATTGTTTAAACTGTTACTGTTATTTTAATATACTTATTATTATTGAGTGTTTCTTATAAAGCGAGTGAAAATCTTATTGAATTGCAAATGATTCCATTCTCTATTATAATAAGTTAGTAATTATCAAAATATAATCATTTTATCAAAATATAAACATAATACTGTACTTTGACTACTAATTGATCTTATATGCTTTGTAATTAATTTTTTGCAATTATAAAAAATTAATTCTGAAATAATAATAGATTAAATATTAAATCCTTAGCATATATAATAACATATACAGATTTTGAAAGAAAAAATTGCGATAAAACTTACTTGTTCTGTCATTTTGAT